CTGGTCGGATATGCCAAGGACCTCAAGATCTTTTTGATGGATGGCGAAGTTCAAATGGACTGGGAGTTCCAGAAACTCAGGCGTCATTATTGCGGGCTTATGGAGGAGCTTTTTGAGGGTATCAACCGAACCAATGATCCATCTAGATGGATGACATTTGAAGCTCGAAAGTCGGCATTTGCTCTGATGGAGGATTGGTGCGGTTTCTCGCCGAACCAGCCACAAATCCGACAAAGAGAAGACAACATGAGGAAGTCAGTGATTGATCAAAAGGCTGTCGGTGAACGTGGCACTGTCACGGCAGCTATGGAGATTGAAAAGAGGAACCTTAGAACGGCGGCACTCAGTGCCATGGCGTCTCTATGCGGCGGACCCATCAGCCTTACCACCGAGGGTAGCTCTTCTCGGCAGTTCGATGTGAGGCGGATGCTGGCTTGGATTGAGGCCATCTTCAATTCTGGCAGCGATCGTATGAATGTCATCGGCAGGAGAGCTCTCAAGAACCTGATTGTCCACAACCAGGAGTTTGTATATCTCCTCGAACACTGCATCTCACGATGCTACCTTGCTGAAGTGCCCAAGGTGCTGGAGAGTTACTTTACTGTCGTGACCGAGGTCATTCTGGAGCACCCCGAGAACCCCTGCCCCTTTTGGAAGCTTCTAGGTCTTTGTCTGTTTATGCTGGGTAACGACCAAAGCAAAATCAGATCTAAGGCGGCACACCTCCTTCGAGCACTTGAAGAGCGCCAACCACAACCCAAGAGCTCCAAACTCCAAGACTTCGACATTAGTATATCGGATAAGACAAAGGCTGTCTACAAGCTCGCTCAGTTCGAGATATCCAAGAGGCTGGCCAAACGACACACCGAACTGGCGTTTCACATCTTCTCCGAGTTTACATTCTACTTTAAGGAACAACAAGGATCAGCCCAAAGGAACATCGTGGCTGTCATCCTTCCTTGGGTACAATCAGTCGAACTCAAAGTCGACCCGAATGGCGGTCCGATTGCCCAGTCATATGTACTGCTGGCCAACCTGCTCGAGCTCACCATCAAGTCTAGTGCGGCTTTGCACAATGAAGTGCAGGCACTCTGGCAGGCGTTGGCTACGGGACCCCATCCTGGGAATGTGAGACTCATTCTCGATTTTATCATGTCACTTTGTCTTGAGCGGAGGGAGCAGAACTTTGTCGAATATGCCAAGCAGATTGTGGTCTTTTTGGCCAGTACCAGTATCACCCCGGGCAACAAGGTGGTGGAATTCTTGTTGTCGCAGATCACGCCTAAGACGATGGTTCCGAATGAGAAGCGGGAAGCTTCTCCTCCGCCGCCGGATAATATTGAGAAGCTGCCTTACTATGCGGATTTGGCCGTAGTCCTTCCTGTTGGTACGAAGCAGGCTGGCTTTTCGCTTGGACAACTGTCTTTGATCTTGTTGGTGGATCTCATGGTTGCGCCTGTGAGCCTTACCGCGGAGAATGTCCCTAATCTTTTGCAGGTGGTGACGGTGCTCTGGGATCACTACACGCCACTGGTGCAGGAGCAGGCTCGGGAGATGCTGGTGCATTTGATTCATGAGCTTGTCATCTCACAGCTTGATGATGATGCCCCGGTGGAGACAAGGAAGTCGATTGAGGATCTCATTGATGCTATTCGTCGCCATGACCGGTCTGTGGTGTGGGGGTACGAGGACAGCAATGGCAAGGTCAACGAGCATGACAATAAAGTCCCTCCGAGTATGGAGTATTTGACCACCGAGGTTGTCAAGACTTTTGAGCTTACCTTCCCTGGCATCAAAGACCAATGGGGCCGGCTATCACTCACGTGGGCAACCTCGTGTCCTGTCAGACATCTTGCCTGTCGGTCTTTTCAGATTTTCAGGTGTATTCTCACTTCGTTGGATCAGCATATGCTCGGGGACATGCTCGCTCGCTTGTCGAACACTATTGCGGACGAGGATATGGAGATTCAGTCGTTTTCGATGGAGATACTCACTACCTTTAAGACCCTGATCGTCAAGCTTGATGCAGAGAAGCTGTTGGCTCTTCCACAACTCTTCTGGACGACATGTGCCTGTCTGGAGTCAATCAATGAGTGCGAGTTTCTGGAAGCGGTGGAGATACTGAATGAGTTCTTGGACAAACTGGACTTTGGGTCTGCCAATGTGCGAAGGCTTCTCTATGATGGACAGCCTTCCAAGTGGGATGGGCCGTTTGAGGGTTTGCAGCCACTTCTTTACAAGGGGTTGCGGTCGTCGACATGTCTGGACTCGACATTGCGGACGCTGGAAAGACTTGTGCAGTTGCCGAGCGATGCCCTGATTGGAGACGATACTCGTCTGTTCTTTACCATCATTGCCAACTTGCCAAGGCTTCTGGATGTTATTAATCAGAAGATATTGGAGGAAGAGGTGGTTCAGACGGCGCACTCGCTGATGAGTGTTGCGTATGAGCGAGAGTTGAGGAGTATTGCGCTGGTTCTTGACAAGTACCTGGCGAACATGTACTCATCTGGGGAAGACTTTGTCTCGCAGATGCTGGCAGCTCTTCAAGACTACTTTCTGCCAGCACTTGACTTTCATATGATTGCCATGCTGATGGGCTTCCTGACCAACGCGACTGCCTGGGTCAAGATCAAGACGATGAGGATTCTCAGGGTAATCATCCCCGAAGTCGACATGAGGAAGCCGGAAATCGCGAGCCATGGCTCAGATATGATTTCACCCTTGCTACGACTGTTGCAAACAGAGTACTGCATGGAAGCCCTCGAGGTTCTTGATAACATCATGACCATGTCCGGTTCCACCATGGACAAGCAGCACCTCCGCATGAGCATGACCCGACCCACCTCCAAGGCCGTCCGAAAAGAATACGAGCGCACTCAAAGTCTCTTTGGCATCCCAGAAACTTCCGGTTGGGCGATTCCCATGCCAGCCAAAAAGACTGACTCTACCCGCGCCAACATCCACGCCGCATTCTACATGTGCCAGTCGATCGAAGGCATAGCCGCCGAGCCAACCCCAACGCCCGAGGTTGAATTCCACAACGATGAGTTCCCCTACGGCTATTTCTCCACCTCGGACAGGGCGGACACCATGATGTCAGACGACATAAGGGATAACCCCCCCATGGGCGACCTCGTCTCCAAACTTGACAGCCTAGACGACTTCTTCGACGACCTCTCCACCAGCCCACCGTCCGATGGCCGTTCCTCCAGGACAGTGACAGAATTCTCCCCTGACGCCTTCGAATCCGACGCTCAACTCTACGACGAGCAAATCCTCCCTATTCTGCACCAGGCTTCCTCAAACACAAGTAGCATGTCCTTCCAAAACGGCTTTGCCGATCGCCCCTCTTTTGTCTTGCCAACAAACGGTCTAGTAGCAGCCAACACGATGACGCCGGGGGCGTTCTCGGTAACTATGACCGGCACTGGAGGCGGCCCAGGTCCCGCAAACATCACTCCTCCAAGCGCTATCCTCCGTCCTGGTCTTCACGCTCGTTCGGTAACTTCCCCTTCGGCACCGTATCACCATCAGCTGGATTTTGCCTCGGATGACGAGCATGATACACCCCAGCAGCAGGATTTTGTGGAGGATGTCTTTTCTGATGGGGATGATGAACGCCCAACTACGGATGGAGGGAATGGGAATAGTAGTCCGTTTTTCTTGGAGAGCGTGATTAGGAAGGGGGGCTTGAGAGGAAGGTTGAGGGGGGTGGGGACTGGAGGGGCAAGGGAGAGGTTGCCTAGTGTGCAGGGGGTGTCACCAAGATCTCAACAGCAGTCACGAGCGCCGTCTGCAATGGGGGGGAGAGGGATTTGAGGGGGCGAGGGAGCAGGGGATGGTGTTGCAGCAGAGGTTGCAGATGGGTGGTTTTGGGGGGCAGGGGTTTGGGAATAGGGAGTTGTTGTAGGGGGGTAAGGGTTTAGGACGAGGAGCCTGAGCTTGTTGCAATCAAGGCCGGCGGGGGTTTAGTTTTCGACTTCTGCCGTCATCATTGGGGGAAGGGGGAAGCGAAGGGGAGGACTGTATGATGATGGTGTTTGTGTAATGAACATGGGGGTGATCTGGGGACAGAGATGAGGAAACATATAGGGATGAAGGAGATGGGTAAGGGGATGAGGCACGATCATTTATATATGTAATGTAGCTGTTTATATCAATATTGAGTAACCTGACATACAAATGGCACTGAAGTTGCCGACGCACTTGTAGGAACACCAATTATGTTGGTTCGCTGCTTGGCACTTGGTGTCAACTGGCGCTCAAGCTGCCGTGCCATATCTCTCTCTCACCTTCCAGGATGGTCCGCTTTCACTCATCGAACTTGGCCTTTCAAAACACCACTCGCCATGAGCAAACACTGAACAAAAAAAACGATCATGTCGACCTCAGACTCATTACCGGTTTACGATGGGCCAATATGCCGCATTTGTTGCGATTTAATGCCCAACAGACAGATTCCCCTGCCCAACGGCAAATGGGTCGATGTCCAGAAACAGGGGAAAATGACGCTTTCCCTGGCTGTCTGGTTAAGTGATGTTTACGAATCGGCCAAGACGTGCGTCAATTGTAAGGTCATGATTGAAGCATTGGAATGTTTTGAAGGAAAGGAGCCAAGGTTGGAGGATGATATGTTTACTGTTGATGGCCGGGTTGGGACGTCGCTCAAGCTCGAGTACAATCTCGCTGATGACGAATATTTGAGGTTTATTGAAGTATTCTCTGATACTGGTGAGAAGATTCCTTGAATGGTGCGTAAGGTGGTGGGAGGCTGACATTGTGAGATAATAGAATCGGAGAGTTGTCTGGGTACGGCGACGTTTATAGAGGCTGATATTGACCCGAGGAAGGCGGCGGAGATTGCGAAAAGACGACTGAGGGAGTGTGTTGATTCTCATGATGAGTGTAGGGTGGGGAGGAGGGGATTCATTCCTACGAGGGTTGTGGATGTTGGTACTGGGGATGGTCTGCCGTGGTTAGTTGAGACCACGGAGGATATGAAAGACACTGACTACGTTGCTTTGAGTTATTGTTGGGGGTTGGCCCAGTCCCTTACAACGACCAAAGCGACATTGCCAAACAGGCTTGAGGGTATTCCGTGGGAAGATATACCCAAGACCCTGCACGAGGCGATCGAATTTGTACAACACCTGGGCCTATCGTATATATGGATTGATGCCCTCTGCATCATCCAGGATGATGGTTTAGATTGGGAGAAGGAGGCAGCTCAGATGAAAAACGTCTACGAGAACGCCTTGTTCACGCTCTCTGCCACGTCTGCCCCCGATGTTGCTACCGGTTGCTTCCTAGCCCGAAATAATCCCGTTCACGAACTGCACTCGGCGAAGCCGCAGCATACCTACTACGCTCGTCGTCCCTGTTTTGATACCCACAGCAAGCTTTTCTCCTACTCCGTCGACACCGAGATTGAAATGGACAACTATCCCGCTATGACACGGGGTTGGATCTATCAAGAGCGTCTTCTCTCGCAACGAATCCTCTATTGCGCCTATGATGAGTTGATCTGGGAGTGCCGGAATACGATCACATGCGAGTGTAACCCGACAAGCCTTCATCGTCACCACGGAGGCAACGCCATCGTTAGCTACAAGCGTCAAATGGGACACCTCTCCGATCCCACACAGTTCAACAAAAACAACTCCTCTTTTTTCCCTATCATCGATCTGTGGCTCAGCCTCGTGCAGAGCTACTCCCAGAGAGTCTTCACAAAATATACCGACCGTCTCATTGCTCTTTCTGGTATCGCTCAGAAATTCCAGCCTCTCAACATAGGGAATTACTACGCGGGCATCTGGTCTTCGGAAATCCACCACCAACTAGCCTGGACTCGCGATGCCAACCCCAAGGCATTACGCGTCAAGGAAGCGGCCCGAATCCCTGGTTCTCCTTCCTGGTCCTGGTGTTCCATCAACCAACCCTGCGTATTCGACGACGTCATGAACCCTCCCCGCATCAGCACCCGTCTCACAGCCCTAAACTACAAAGCCGAACTCTCCAGCCCCGATCCCACCGGCCCAGTCTCATATGCCCGGCTGACCCTCTCCGGCCCCTGCGTCGAAGCAAAAATCGTCCTCGGCCCTCCCGTAGAAGAGAACCCCAGCAGCCCCCTCAAAGCATACATCTCCCTCTGCAACAAACAATATCTCATAACGCCCGACATCCCCCAATGGCACAACGCCCCTCAGTCAGCCGACTCCTTAGCTGCCTCGGACGAAGTCTCCTGCCTAGAAATCTACATCACCAAAAAGGGGTTCAAGGACAACGTAAACGTCAACCCTGACTCTCCATGGGACGACCCAGAGCACCCGGATCAATACTACAATTACCGATTCCCATGGCTGGTTCTCAAATGGTCACCCCCCCATGATGCGTACCGCCGTGTGGGGATCGTCAACTTTGCAAATCGACCTTCGTTTGACCAGGAGGAGCAGGCGCCTGGGGAGATGATGAGGCATGCGGTGATGAGGGTCGTGGATATTGTTTGAAGAACGTAATAGCAGCACAGGTATGTCAAGATGACAACTTTTTCCTGATCCCTAGTTTCTGCTTTTGGCGTAACTGAAGTAGTGTAGAACTCGGGATCCCATCCGCTCTCCCCTAGATAAGATCTGCCTTGAATGCTTATCTGTCGGGACACCCACCAAACCGCACAATGTCACGGTTCTGGAAGACAGTGGGGCCACGAGGGACCAATCAGGACTGGACCGAGCGATCGAGCGGGGCTCACGGTCCGAGTGGACGGAACGGACCAATAAGATGGGGACCGGGGACCGCGGCGGGGCTCACGGTCCACGGTCCAGTATCGGCCAATCAGGAGTGGACCGAGGACCGTCTGTAAGTCAACGGTCCACGGTCCCAAGGTCTATATATACGGAGGAACTGGCTGGTGTAGATAGACAGTTCCGCAGTATGCAATGACAAGTCACAATCGTGGTATCTTAGCTGTTGTGATTGAGACATCTTGTTGTGCACTATTTAGCTGCACCGAACCAATTGTCAGAAGTTACCTTCAACTAGTATCCCTTTCAGAGGTTCTGTACAGGGGTTCGTCACACGTTGCATACTCACTTCAACTCTGTCACGGATAAGTTGAAGGTATCAAGTTAACGCCATGGCCGGAAACGTCAATACCCAGGCAGGGACATCCACTCAACCCACCATCGACCAGCTTCTTACTTGTATCCAAGAGCTTGAGGATAAGTTACGCCTTTCCCACGAGACCCTCACGCAGGAGAACGCTATGCTCCACCAGGAGATCGGGACCTTACGTAAGGAGGGAGAGCGTGCTAAACTCGAGGCACCCGACCGCTACGGAGGTGCAAAGGGAGAGCTGGGGAGATTTTTGATTTAACTTAAGGCTTACTTTCGGTACTACCCTTCTCGTTTCCCGGACGAGGAATCTAAGGTTATATATACTGCATCTAGGCTCAAGGACATAGCACTTACATAATTCGAGCCGATCTTAAGGGACTACTTCGATAATATATATAACGAGAGGGAGGATATTACCTAAATATATTTCAAGTTATATAAAAGTTTTTTAAAAAAAATTAAGGAGGTATTTAAAGAGTATAACGAAGCTAGATATACCTAGGAGTAACTAACTAACCTTAAATAAACTCGATTTACTACCGATTATTTACCTATCAATTATCACTCCCCTAGTTCTATAA